CTGTCGGAATTTACCAAAATCATGAGCATGGAAATGAGTGCTATTCTAGGTGGCTCTCCTCTCAGGGTCAGGGTCAAGACCCAGCCCTGCTCATGACTGCCCGGGTGTCAGAGAGCAAGACACAACCTTCCCTAGGCTGTGCCTGCTGCCCCTCAGAAGGAGTGCTAGTACCGAGAATGGCCACGTTTCGTGTAAATAATGGAGGGGATAGGACGTGGCACAGGGAGGGACACTCCCCAAAGTCAGACCCTAGGAGGCTCCCGCACAGCCCTCCTGGGACTAACCAGCCTGTGCTCACAAGTCCCACACGGGCCCTGGCTTTGCCTCTGACCACTGATTTGTCCAGGGCACTTTAGAAGCTGCCCTTCACGTGCCACGCACAGTTCTTGCCAGGTCTGTGTGCCTTGAGTGTTCCTTCTTACCAAATACTTGAACTTGTCTTTGCACTGTTGGCTCATTGTCTGCATTCCCCGTGTAGGGCTGCAGTAACTGAGTACCACAGACTGGGTGGCTGAAGACAAGAGAAATGCATTCTCTCCCTTCTGGAGATGACTGGTCTGAATTTGGGGGGTGGGCAGGGCCGTGCTCCCTCTGCAGGTGGTAGGGAAGGACCCTCCCTTGCCTCTTCCAGCCTCCAGCTTCTCCAGGCCCAGAGCTCATTCCCATCTCCTCTGCCAGCTTTGCATTGCCATCTTTTCTCCGGTGTCTGTCTCTGGGTGGCTCTTCTCTCCTTACGGGGACACCCGTCATGTTGTCTTCAAGGCTACCCAATTCCGATATGGCCTCAAGTCGATGTAAGGAATTCCACCTCTAAAGAGACCATTGGAAATAAGCTCACACTCCCAGGAAGGTACCTCGGGCACTCAAGCATCCTGTGTGGGGGGGACCTAACCCATCGTGCTTATATATAAGAAAACTCATAGACCGTAATGGGAAGACTGATAGTCATATAGCCATATTGCATATGACTAACAAAGCCAGTCCAATTAGATTCGGTTGCTTATGGGAACTCCAACATCCTGCCTTTTCTCCTCGAAAAGCTTGACTGCTGAGTTCCGCGTGGGTAGGAAGGACACATTGGCACGAGTCTAAAATGTTCTCCTTGCTAAGCTCAGAAGAATTGAAAGAGGGTGGAGAAGGGGGTACTTCTTTCTGATGCATCTAATGCTCTTTAACGCCGGGCCCTTGTGCCATCTAAAGTGATCTCATAACGCTACCAGTGATACAGGTTCCACACTC